AGGCCATCTCGTCCAACCCCCTGCCCAATGCAGGACCAGCTTGAAGCATCTGGTGATAAATATCCGTCCAGCCTCTTCTTGACAGCTGTCAGTCCCTAGGCAGCTGATTCCACCTTTGAACCACTCTGACCGTGAAAAGGTTTTTCCTAATATCCAGCCAATACCTTTCTGCATGTAATTTAAACCCCTTGCTTCGGGTCCTCTCCTCTGCTGCCAACTGGAATACCCCCTTGCCCTCCTCCTCCAAATGACAGCCTTTCAAATATCTAAAGAGAGCAATCATGTCCCCCCTCAGTCTCCTCCAAACTAAACATTCCCAAAGCCCTTAGCTTTTCCTCGTAGGGCTCAGTCTCCAGACCCCCGATCACCCTCGTCGCTCTCTTCTGCACCCTCTCGGTTTTGCCCACCTCCTTTTGGAAGTGAGGCCTCCAGAACTGCACACGGGACTCAGGTGTCCTGTCATGTCCTCTACCATCTCTAGATGGGCTCAAGATCTTCTGGGAGAAAACAGGCAGAAAAAGTCACTAAGCCTGTCTGCTTTTTCTCTGTCCTCCACGAGAGACCTGGGCTGCCTGCAGGGAAGGAATTTGGCAGGAAGGCCCCAGCGGAGGCCTGCCTTGCAGTGCCCAGCCCCGGAGTCCTAGCGGCTGCAGGGAGGCATTTTACGTGTCTGGATTTCTTCACCACCTACCTGAAGGGCATCAGTTGCCCTTCAGTTGCCCTAATGCTACAGAACAGGCTCCGGGACTGTCTGTCTCTCGGCAGAGAGAGTTCACGGTGCTCCCACGTCAGTGAAAGAGGCCTGCAAGCGAGCACTCCGACTCAGGAGACCAGAGTTCCCGTGCAGGCTTGCAAAACCATGCCCTGGCACCTTGGGAGCCTGTGACGGGCAGGGGGACGACGTCCGCTTTGTGTGCAGGAGGGACCCTGTTCTGTCTCCAGCAAGACCTCCGTATCCGAGACCCTGGAGGCTGCCAGTCTTAGACCATAGTGGGGGACAATGTTCCCTCTAAGCTGTGGAGTCTTATGAGCAAAAAGTCTACTTTGTGAGCTGCTGGCATTAAAGTTGTGAGCAAGCGATTTGGCCGCTGCATAAATTAGTTTGCTCTGGAGCCATCCTTCCTGAGCGAAGACAAGAATGTGTGAGCCGGAGGCTAAAGAACTGTGAGCTAGCTCACATGAACTCAGCTTAGAGGGAACACTGGTGGTGGGGGGGTCTGATTCGTTAACAGGTAGTTTCCTGTGTTCCGTTCCGGGTTCCCTTCCTTCCTCCAGCCTTGATCAAGGAGTCCTCAGAGTACTGGGATGGCTGGGTGGAGGAGCCAGGGAAGAGGCACAAAGCTCCTCCTCCTTGGGCCCAAGCAAGGAATACTTGCGGAGAGCATCCACCAGAGGCTTTTTTACAAGGAAGGGTGCTGGGGGGAGAAAGGGCAGCCTTCCGTCTTGCAATGTGAGGCAGGAACACTTTTTGGGAACCCCCCCCCTCCGCCTACCACTGAGTTACTTGCAAGATTCTGGGACCCCTTTGGGTTTTAAGTGGAGGTGTGGCTTGTTGTTACAACACGTGCTCGCCTGCACTACTCCAGGGAGGGACATGAGAAGTCCAGGGCCTTGGGGGGAATGTCTCCTGCTCTGCTTGTCCCTATGCTGTTCTTTTGGGGGGGGGGTGGATGCTGGTACGGGTAGAGGCCTCTCTCTTGTGGCCTAGATCTTTGGAAGTTACAGAACAGCGGCAGAGGGAAGCGTGGGCTGCGGTAGCACCTATGCCTCTGTGGTGCCATCAGAAAGATTTCTGCAAAATGACCCGAGTGTCCTGGGACGGAGCCGGGGGCCATCTGCCGCAGCGGTCTCTCTTGAGCAGCGGCCCCACCCACAACCACAACAACGAGCTCATCCTAAGAGCTATAGAATTTAAGTTGTCTTTCTCCTCCTTTTCCGTTCAGGAATCGTACCTCTGTTCTAGTAAAGTAAAGGTAAAGGTTTCCCTTGCTCGAAAGCCAGTCGAGTCCGACTCTAGGGTTGCGGTGCTCATCTCCGTTTCAAAGCCGAAGAGCCAGCGCTGTCCGAAGACGTTTCCGTGGTCATGTGGCCGGCATGACTAAATACCAAGGCGTACGAAACACTGTTACCTTCCCACCGAAGTGGTACCTATTTATCTACCTGCAATTTCTTGCTTTCGAACTGCTAGGTTGGCAGGAGCTGGAACTAGAGACGGGAGCTCACTCCGTCACGTGGCACACTCGGGTCTCGAACTGCTGAACGACCGACCTTCCACAGCCTGCAGTTCAGCGTCTTAACCCCTTGAGCCACCGCAGCCCCTCTGTTCTAGTACTTGTGCTGAAAATTTGGGCTCAGCTTGGAGTTGACACAGGGTTAAGATTGGAGACCCTGCTGTGTGCTCCTTTTAGGTGGGAAGTTCCCTGCATGAGAGGTGGAGGAGGAAAAGTTGAGGCTCTTGGATCGCCAAGCTGCACATTGAAACTTAAGCTCTAATTACTGCCTCCCAAAGTCAAATATTTGTTGCAAGCAGAGGATTAATTGGTGGGGGAGGGAGAGCCATCGCTGGCTCTCTGAGAATAACAGGAACAGATGCCGGTCCGCCTTGGGGAGAAACAGCTTTCTTCTACACATCGAAGCTTTAAATTACGAGGCTTTTACTGACGCCAACAGTTGTGGGAAGTCATCTGCTCTCATTTGCGTAATGGCTTCTGTCACTGCTGATTAGACAGAGGATGAAAGAAAAGAAATTTGACAATAGGGAAGGAATGATCATTAATCAGAAACTTGGTAAGGAGAAGAGGGGGAAATATCCTACCGACGACAGGGAGTAGCCACCCTTGTGCTCCACCCGGCCATGCCAGGTTCTCAGGGTGGAGAGGGGACTTTTGAACAACCTGTTTAGGACTGCTTGACCAATTGCTTGGACCGAGATGGGAGACAGGGCGTTTCCTTGCTTGCCTCTGAAAATCCAAGGGGAGATGGACTTCTTCTGTCCCCTGCAAACCACCCTTAGAAGAAAGCTGGTGACTGGGAGCCAAAGAGGAGCTGAGGCTCAGGCGAGGGAGCGATTTGACTTAAACGGAAGACAGCTTTACATCCTATGCTGTCCCCTCCCCGCATAATGTCACCTCGTAAAATGCTTTTGAAACTCACCCCAACCTCAGTTTGCTGCAAGGTAAGATGATTGGGGTGGCCCTTTGAGAGAAGCGATCCACTTTGGACATACAGCATGGCTGTCCATATCTTGGTCAGTTAGAGTTGGACTGATATTCCAGTATTTGGATTCATTCAGGGACCTTTTCAAAGTGCCAAGAGTACTGGAAAACTATGTCCAAACACTACAGGTTTTTATAGAATGGGGAGAATAAAAACATGAGGCTAAGTAAGCCATACAGTCTCTGGCGGGGGTGGCCGAACTTGCTTCATGTAAGAGCCACATAGGCTAAACGTCAGATGCTCGAGAGCCGTAAGGTGACTTCAGAGGAAGAGGTGGGTTTGGGGGAGTGGCCTGAAAGTGACATCACAGGAAGGGCTGGCGGAGCAGGATGCGACACCATCAGAAGGGGTGGAGCTTAGGGAGTGACATCATAGGATATGACACCACAAAGTGCTAGGCGTGGCCAACCTTGCTTACCGTAACAGCCACACAGAATAAACGTCCGACGTTTGAGAGCCACAAGACATGAACAAATGCTACACACACGTTTTTATTGCAAAATATGCAAATTTGCTTTTTTATTAACATTGAATTAGACTGTGTGACAGAGCTGCATGCCGCTCCGGAGCTGCAGTTCCGCCACCCCTGTCTACTGTGGTGTTACCCAGGCATTCCCTTCTGTGGAATGGGCACAAGCCCACAGGAACCTGGAAAAATAGCGGCTGGTCAAGACAGACTTCCTTTCTGCCACGTTCCCTGGTTTTTGGCTTGAACCCCACAGTGTGTGTCTGTGTTTTGCCTCTTCGAAATCCCACCTGGGAGGGTTTCACTTTGACCCGCAGAGAAAATGGGTTTGCAGTCCCAGCTGCACTGTTTGCATCTCTTCTTCAGATCAAGGTGCACAGCTTTTAAAGTCCGGGCAGGTGGGTAAATGTTCATCTGCATCCTTCCTATATGTCTCCATAAAGGAAATACATCAACTCAGCCTGAAACCAGAGTA